TCCCTCTTTTCCTCCCTCTCCTTCCATTCCTCCATCCCTTCCCCCTTTCCTTCCTCCTTCCCTGCCTCCCTCTCTCCTCCCTCTTCCTTTTCCTCCCTCTCCTTTCCCTTCCCTCCCTCCTCTTTCCTCCCCCTCTCTCCCTCCCTCCTCCATTCTTCCTCTCCTTTTTTCCTCCCTCTTTTCTTTTCCTCTTTCCTTCCCTCCCTCTTTCCCTCCCACCTCCTTTCTTCCCCCCTCCTTTCCTCCCTCTCCTTCTTTTCCTCTTTCCCTTCCTCTCTCTTTCTAACCTTTCGTGGCCTGTGTTCGTCCGTGTCTGCGTTTATGTCTTTGTTACGTAGAATAAACTTCGATTCATGAAGGAGGAGAGAATGGAGGGAGAGGAAGGGGAGGAGGAGAGATGGAGGGAGGGGAAGGGAGGGAGAAAGAGAGGGGCGGAGAAAGAGAAGGAAGAAAGAGAGAGGAGAAGGAAAAGAAAGAATAACAAGAGGAGGAGGGAGATGAAGATGGAGAGGATAAAGAAGAAGAGGATGGTGATGGAGAGGAAAGGAAGAGGAGGAAGTGGGACAGTAAGAAAGAAAAGAGAAGGAGGAGAAACCAACGGAGGGTAAGGAAGAAAAGAGAAGAGAAAGAAAGAAAAGGAAGAAGAATAGAAGAAAAATAAGAAAATAAAAAAATAAGAGAAGAAAAAAACGAAACATAACAAATCAAACAAAAATTATTTTACGTAACAAGAAAACCGCCCTCCTCCCCTCCCCTCCCTACCCCCCAAAAAAACGCCTCCCCCACCCCCCAAAAAACGAAAAAAATACCCAAACGAAAAAGTGTAAAACGAACCGGAAAAATAACACCGTTGAAGTCGTGTTGCAAAATCAAGAGGAGTTGCAGACGAAGCGAACCACGTATTTTGCAACGATTCCACCTCGATATTGGAAGAAACAAAATGACTTGCCTTAATCCTTCCATGCCCTTTTAGAATGTTTGGTTAGTTACCAGGAGGGAAAAAAGGGAGAGAGAGAGAGAGAGAGAGAGGAAGGGGAAACGGATCTCTCTCTCTCTCTTTCTCTCTTTTTAAAATCTGAGTAACATTTTCTTTTTTCTTTTTTTTTCTTTTTTTTTTTACTATTGAG